ACCATGCACCACTCACCATGCACCACTCACCACTCACCATGCACCACTCACCACGCACCACTCACCATGCACCACTCACCATGCACCACTCACCATGCACCACTCACCATGCACCACTCACCATGCACCACTCACCACTCACCATGCACCACTCACCACGCACCACTCACCATGCACCACTCACCATGCACCACTCACCACTCACCATGCACCACTCACCACGCACCACTCACCATGCACCACTCACCATGCACCACTCACCATGCACCACCCACCATGCACCACTCACCACGCACCACTCACCATGCACCACTCACCATGCACCACTCACCATGCACCACTCACCATGCACCACTCACCATGCACCACTCACCATGCACCACTCACCATGCACCACTCACCATGCACCACTCACCACTCACCACTCACCACTCACCATGCACCACTCACCACGCACCACTCACCATGCACCACTCACCATGCACCACTCACCACTCACCATGCACCACTCACCACGCACCACTCACCATGCACCACTCACCATGCACCACCCACCATGCACCACTCACCACGCACCACTCACCATGCACCACTCACCATGCACCACTCACCATGCACCACTCACCATGCACCACTCACCATGCACCACTCACCACTCACCATGCACCACTCACCACGCACCACTCACCATGCACCACTCACCATGCACCACTCACCACTCACCGTGCACCACTCACCACGCACCACTCACCATGCACCACTCACCATGCACCACTCACCATGCACCACTCACCACTCACCATGCACCACTCACCACGCACCACTCACCATGCACCACTCACCACGCACCACTCACCATGCACCACTCACCATGCACCACTCACCATGCACCACTCACCACTCACCATGCACCACTCACCACGCACCACTCACCATGCACCACTCACCATGCACCACTCACCATGCACCACTCACCATGCACCACTCACCATGCACCACTCACCACTCACCATGCACCACTCACCACGCACCACTCACCATGCACCACTCACCATGCACCACTCACCACTCACCATGCACCACTCACCACGCACCACTCACCATGCACCACTCACCATGCACCACTCACCATGCACCACCCACCATGCACCACTCACCACGCACCACTCACCATGCACCACTCACCATGCACCACTCACCATGCACCACTCACCATGCACCACTCACCATGCACCACTCACCATGCACCACTCACCATGCACCACTCACCACTCACCACTCACCACTCACCATGCACCACTCACCACGCACCACTCACCATGCACCACTCACCATGCACCACTCACCACTCACCATGCACCACTCACCACGCACCACTCACCATGCACCACTCACCATGCACCACCCACCATGCACCACTCACCACGCACCACTCACCATGCACCACTCACCATGCACCACTCACCATGCACCACTCACCATGCACCACTCACCATGCACCACCCACCATGCACCACTCACCACGCACCACTCACCATGCACCACTCACCATGCACCACTCACCATGCACCACTCACCATGCACCACTCACCATGCACCACTCACCATGCACCACTCACCATGCACCACTCACCATGCACCACTCACCACTCACCATGCACCACTCACCACGCACCACTCACCATGCACCACTCACCATGCACCACTCACCACTCACCATGCACCACTCACCACGCACCACTCACCATGCACCACTCACCATGCACCACTCACCATGCACCACCCACCATGCACCACTCACCACGCACCACTCACCATGCACCACTCACCATGCACCACTCACCATGCACCACTCACCATGCACCACTCACCATGCACCACTCACCACTCACCGTGCACCACTCACCACGCACCACTCACCATGCACCACTCACCATGCACCACTCACCATGCACCACTCACCACTCACCATGCACCACTCACCACGCACCACTCACCATGCACCACTCACCACGCACCACTCACCATGCACCACTCACCACGCACCACTCACCATGCACCACTCACCATGCACCACTCACCACGCACCACTCACCATGCACCACTCACCACGCACCACTCACCATGCACCACTCACCACGCACCACTCACCATGCACCACTCACCACGCACCACTCACCATGCACCACTCACCATGCACCACTCACCATGCACCACTCACCATCACACTCACCATGCACCACTCACCACGCACCACTCACCATGCACCACTCACCATGCACCACTCACCACTCACCATGCACCACTCACCACGCACCACTCACCATGCACCACTCACCATGCACCACTCACCATGCACCACTCACCACTCACCATGCACCACTCACCACGCACCACTCACCATGCACCACTCACCACGCACCACTCACCACGCACCACTCACCATGCACCACTCACCACTCACCATGCACCACTCACCATGCACCACTCACCATGCACCACTCACCACGCACCACTCACCATGCACCACTCACCATGCACCACTCACCATGCACCACTCACCATGCACCACTCACCACGCACCACTCACCACGCACCACTCACCATGCACCACTCACCACGCACCACTCACCATGCACCACTCACCACGCACCACTCACCATGCACCACTCACCATGCACCACTCACCATGCACCACTCACCACTCACCATGCACCACTCACCACGCACCACTCACCATGCACCACTCACCATGCACCACTCACCATGCACCACCCACCATGCACCACTCACCACGCACCACTCACCATGCACCACTCACCATGCACCACTCACCATGCACCACTCACCATGCACCACTCACCATGCACCACTCACCATGCACCACTCACCATGCACCACTCACCATGCACCACTCACCACTCACCACTCACCACTCACCATGCACCACTCACCACGCACCACTCACCATGCACCACTCACCATGCACCACTCACCACTCACCATGCACCACTCACCACGCACCACTCACCATGCACCACTCACCATGCACCACCCACCATGCACCACTCACCACGCACCACTCACCATGCACCACTCACCATGCACCACTCACCATGCACCACTCACCATGCACCACTCACCATGCACCACCCACCATGCACCACTCACCACGCACCACTCACCATGCACCACTCACCATGCACCACTCACCATGCACCACTCACCATGCACCACTCACCATGCACCACTCACCATGCACCACTCACCATGCACCACTCACCATGCACCACTCACCACTCACCATGCACCACTCACCACGCACCACTCACCATGCACCACTCACCATGCACCACTCACCACTCACCATGCACCACTCACCACGCACCACTCACCATGCACCACTCACCATGCACCACTCACCATGCACCACCCACCATGCACCACTCACCACGCACCACTCACCATGCACCACTCACCATGCACCACTCACCATGCACCACTCACCATGCACCACTCACCATGCACCACTCACCATGCACCACTCACCACTCACCGTGCACCACTCACCACGCACCACTCACCATGCACCACTCACCATGCACCACTCACCATGCACCACTCACCACTCACCATGCACCACTCACCACGCACCACTCACCATGCACCACTCACCACGCACCACTCACCATGCACCACTCACCATGCACCACTCACCATGCACCACTCACCACATGCACCACTCACCATGCACCACTCACCATGCACCACTCACCACGCACCACTCACCATGCACCACTCACCATGCACCACTCACCATGCACCACTCACCACGCACCACTCACCATGCACCACTCACCATGCACCACTCACCATGCACCACTCACCATGCACCACTCACCATGCACCACTCACCATGCACCACTCACCACGCACCACTCACCATGCACCACTCACCATGCACCACTCACCATGCACCACTCACCATGCACCACTCACCACTGCACCACTCACCACTGCACCACTCACCATGCACCACTCACCATGCACCACTCACCATGCACCACTCACCATGCACCACTCACCACGCACCACTCACCATGCACCACTCACCACGCACCACTCACCATGCACCACTCACCATGCACCACTCACCACTCACCATGCACCACTCACCACGCACCACTCACCATGCACCACTCACCATGCACCACTCACCATGCACCACTCACCACTCACCATGCACCACTCACCACGCACCACTCACCATGCACCACTCACCACGCACCACTCACCACGCACCACTCACCATGCACCACTCACCACTCACCATGCACCACTCACCATGCACCACTCACCATGCACCACTCACCACGCACCACTCACCATGCACCACTCACCATGCACCACTCACCATGCACCACTCACCATGCACCACTCACCACGCACCACTCACCACGCACCACTCACCATGCACCACTCACCACGCACCACTCACCATGCACCACTCACCACGCACCACTCACCATGCACCACTCACCATGCACCACTCACCACGCACCACTCACCACGCACCACTCACCACTCACCATGCACCACTCACCACTCACCATGCACCACTCACCATGCACCACTCACCACGCACCACTCACCATGCACCACTCACCACGCACCACTCACCATGCACCACTCACCACGCACCACTCACCACTCACCACGCACCACTCACCATGCACCACTCACCACGCACCACTCACCATGCACCACTCACCATGCACCACTCACCACGCACCACTCACCACGCACCACTCACCACTCACCACGCACCACTCACCATGCACCACTCACCACGCACCACTCACCATGCACCACTCACCATGCACCACTCACCACGCACCACTCACCACTCACCATGCACCACTCACCACGCACCACTCACCATACACTACTCACCACGCACCACGCACCATGCACCAATCAACTCCTCTCCTCGAACTCACCACGCGAGACGCTCCTAGCTGCCCGGAAACAGTCCCAAAGAAGAATGACGTGTATATGATGCCCGTGAATATTTGCGCTCCCACTCCCGAGCCATAGCTGGTGGGGTGAGAAAGGAGAAAGAAGAAGGGGAGAAAGGGAGGAGAATGTGAAGTCCCAAAGAAGAAGGAAGTGTATATGATGCCCGTGACGTGAATATTTGCGCTCCCACCCCCGAGCCATACCTGGTGGGGGGAGAGGGAAAGAGAGAGAGGCAAGGGAAGAAGGGAGGAGGAAGCGGGCCAGGGGGTTGAAGTCTCACAGAAGAAGGACGTGTATATGACACCCGTGACGTGAATATCTGCGCTCCCACACCCGAACCGTAACTGGTGGGGGGATTGGGGAACGGAGAGGGGAGAGGGGAACGGAGAGAGGAAAGGGAAGGGGGGTAGAAAGGGGGTGAGCAGAGTGATGCCCCAAAGAAGTACAACAGTTGATTCATGACCACGAGTGTCTGTGCTCCCACCCACCCACTCCACTCACCATGCCTGACTGCATGAGTGTCTGTGCTCCCACCCACCCACTCCACTCACCATGCCTGACTGCATGAGTGTCTGTGCTCCCACCCACCCACTCCACTCACCATGCCTGACTGCATGAGTGTCTGTGCTCCCACCCACCCACTCCACTCACCATGCCTGACTGCATGAGTGTCTGTGCTCCCACCCACCCACTCCACTCACCATGCCTGACTGCATGAGTGTCTGTGCTCCCACCCACCCACTCCACTCACCATGCCTGACTGCATGAGTGTCTGTGCTCCCACCCACCCACTCCACTCACCATGCCTGACTGCATGAGTGTCTGTGCTCCCACCCACCCACTCCACTCACCATGCCTGACTGAAACGCATCCCACAAGATGTGAATCACCAGCTGCATGCCGCTGGTCACTGTCGTCAGAGCGACCATGGTGGGTGGGACACCTCACTCATCCACTCTCCTCCACCCACTCTCCACCCACTTCTCAAGTGACTCACCATGCCTGACTGAAACGCATCCCACAGGATGTGTAACACCAGCTGCATGCCGCTGGTCACTGTCGTAGACGGCACCTTCCCTTCCTGAGCAGTGACCAAGTTATGATTCACGGTCTGAATGCAGAGCGTGGACACCACCACCAGCAGCCACGACCATGGTGGGTGGGACACCTGACTCAACCACTCTCCACCTACTTCTCAAGTGACTCACCGTGCTTGGAACACATCGCATAGGATTTGAATCACTGGCTGCATGCCGTTGGTGACTGTAGTCGGCATCCCTCCATCTACAGCGGTGGGGGGTATATCATCCACGATTTGAATGCAGAGCGTGAACAGACCACCAGTAGCCGCAGCCGTTATGCCACGGGGGGTGGGGCACCTCACTCAACCATTCTCCACCCACTCTCCATTGACTCACCGTGTGTAAAACACATCCCATAAGATCTGAATCACCGGCTGCATGCCGTTGGTGACTGTCGGCGCCTCCCCGTCTACAGCAGCGGCGAATATATCGTCCACGTTCTGAATGCAGAGCGTGAGCACCACCAGTAGCAGCAGCAGCAGCAGCAGCAGCAGCAGCCGCCGTACTTGACTCGACTCACCGTGCGTAAAACACGTCCCACAGGATCTGAATCACCGGCTGCATGCCATTCGTGACCGTGGTCGGCGCCTCCCCATCAGCAGCAGCGGCGAATATATCGTCCACGTTCTGAATGCAGAGCGTGAGTACCACCAGCAGCAACCATCCCACGAATGTGATTGTGGTCAGCGATGCGACTATCGCGGCCGGCGACGTGCGGTCGGACTTCTTTGTCTCTTCTGAGAGATGCGCCACGCCATCGTAGCCGTAGAGGGAGTATTGGGAGACGAGCAGGCAGAGGACAAAGGAGTAGGCCTGGGGGCGGAGGGGAAGGGAGAGGAGAAAGGGGGGGAAATGACACAGATGAGAGGAGAAAGGGGGGGAAATGACACAGATGAGAGGGGAAAGGGGGGGAAATGACACAGATGAGAGGAGAAAGGGGGGGAAATGACACAGATGAGAGGGGAAAGGGGGGGAAATGACACAGATGAGAGGTAGGCAGAGCAGGAAGGAGTAGGCCTGGGGGGAAGGAGAGAGGGGAGAGGAAGGCGGAAGCAAATGAGATGAAGTGCTGTGAGAGGGGGTTAGACCAGCGCCGCTGAAGCCGTGTAGGGAGTGCTGGGAGACGAGCAGGCAGAGCAGGAAGGAGTAGGCCTGTGGTGAGGGGCGGAGGGGGAGGTGGGGAGGGTGGGGGGCGAGGGTAGGTGGTGAGTGGGGGGAAGGGAATGAATCAGATGCGCCACACCGTTGTAGCCGTAGAGGGAGTAGTGGGAGACGAGCAGGCAGAGCGCGAAGGAGTAAGCCTGGAGAAAAGGAGAACCGGGGAAGGGGAGGAGAGGAGAGTGGTTGAGTGATTGAGAGATATGCCGCGCCGCCATAGGAGAGTGGTTGAGGGTATGCGCCACACCGTTGTAGGCGTAGATATTGAAATCACTTTTGAGAATTGTCAAAAGTGATCTCAATGGCTGGTGAGTGGGGGGAAGGGAATGAATCAGATGCGCCACACCGTTGTAGCCGTAGAGGGAGTAGTGGGAGACGAGCAGGCAGAGCACCAAGGAAGGAATAGGCCTGGGGGGTGGTGGGGTAGCGGGATGGAGGGGGAAGGGAGAGAGAAGTTGTTCAGAAGTCAGATTATATCTCGCCATTGTAGCCGTAGAGGGAGTATTGGGAGACGAGCAGGCAGAGCACGAAGGAATAGGCCTGTGGTGGAGGAGGGGAGGGGAGAGGGGAGGGGAGAGGAGAGTGGTTGTGTGAATGAGGAAACACACATTAGCAGCAGCAATACAGGAGTGGCACTATCCACGTGACTTTTGAGTTGACTCAAAAGTCACCTCAATACAGGAGTGGCACTATCCACGTGACTTTTGAGTTGACTCAAAAGTCACCTCAATACAGGAGTGGCACTATCCACGTGACTTTTGAGTTGACTCAAAAGTCACCTCAATACAGGAGTGGCACTATCCACGTGACTTTTGAGTTGACTCAAAAGTCACCTCAATACAGGAGTGGCACTATTCCTGTAGAGGGAGTATTGGGAGAGGGCAGGCAGAGAACGAAGGAGCAGGCCTGGGGGGACGGAGGGGAGATGGGGAGGGGGGCGAATAGGAGCAAATAGTCAAGGAGGGGTTTGTCTGACTAACGGGTGTGAGTGAGCAGGGAATTGCAGGTGGGTAGCTGGTGGGCGGGGATGACTAGGAGCAGAGTGAACGGTTTGCAAGAAACAGAGTGGAACCAAGGGGAGCAGAGTGGTGCAGAGTGGAGCAGAGTGGTGCAGCAGAGTGGAGCAGAGTGGTGCAGCAGAGTGGAGCAGAGTGGTGCAGCAGAGTGGTGCAGAGTGGTGCAGCAGAGTGGTGCAGAGTGGGCAGAGACTCGTTTGAAAAGAAGGTTTGGAAGACATAGGAGGCTGGATGGTGGATGGGTGGGTGGTGGGGCCGACTAAGAGTGAACGGTTTGCAAGGAATTAAGTGGAGCAGAGTGGTGCAGAGTGGTGCAGCAGAGTGGTGCAGAGTGGTGCAGCAGAGTGGTGCAGAGTGGGCAGAGACTCGTTTGAAAAGAAGGTTTGGAAGACATAGGAGGCTGGATGGTGGATGGGTGGGTGGTGGGGCCGACTAAGAGAACGGTTTGCAAGGAATTAAGTGGAGCAGAGTGGTGCAGAGTGGTGCAGAGTGGTGCAGCAGAGTGGTGCAGAGTGGTGCAGAGTGGGCAGAGACTCGTTTGAAAAGAAGGTTTGGAAGACATAGGAGGCTGGATGGTGGATGGGTGGGTGGTGGGGCCGACTAAGAGTGAACGGTTTGCAAGGAATTAAGTGGAGCAGAGTGGTGCAGAGTGGTGCACATTCGTGCGGAGTGGCTCACAGGCGTGGGAAGTGACTCGTTTGAGAAGAAGGTTTGGAAGACGTAGGAGGCTGGCTGGTGGGTGGGCGCGACGAGGGGCAGCGTGATGATGAGCGCCACTGCTCCCAACAGCTGAGGGGGAAAGGTAGAGGAGGGGGGGAGGGAGGGGGGGGGGATAGAGCAAGGGATGAGCAAATGGCGAACACGAACATGTTCGTGTTCGCCTGGGCTCGAACATGGCCGTTCGGCGAACCGAACACTGTTCGGTTCGCCGAACACTTTACACCAGAAAGGGTGTTCGAAGTTCGCCAAGAGAGGCGAACATTTCGAACGTTTTGGCGAACACGAACACGTTCGCCCAGAACATGTTCGCGTTCGCCTTAAAGGACCTTCTTAGATCCAAGTAGAGTGAAATCCAAATGTTTCACATTCCCTCCCCCCACCCCCCAAGCCAGTCCCGCCCTGCTTCATCCATACTAGTGCCAGCGTGTGACGGCGAAAGGCTAGATCTGAGCTTAAGCAACGGCGAAATGCTTGATCCGCACTTAAGCAACGGCGAAATGCTTGATCTATACTTGAGCAACGGCGAAATGCCTTGATCCGCACTTAAGCAGCGGCGAAATGCCTTGATCTGAGCCCAAACACCAAGGCCCGCGACCTAAAAATTGGTCGCGGGCCTATTCGTCGACGAACACCAATGTGTTCGTCATATTGCTCATCCCTAGATAGAGCAGAGGTCCATGCATGTGTGAAATTGATGCGGTGGGTGGGTGCGGCGAGGGGCAGTGTGATGACGAGCGCCACTGATCCCAACACCTGGAGGGTAGAAGGGAAAGGTAGGGGGGGTGGGGGGATAGAGAAGGGATTCGTGCATGTGTGAATTGATACGGTGGGTGGGTGGGCGCGGCGAGGGGCAGAATGATGATATGAGCGCCACTGCTCCCAACACCTGGAGGGGGGGAGGGAAGGTGAAGGGTGAGGAAAGAGAGAAAGCAGAACGGGGCAAGCAGAACGGGGCAAGCAGAACGGGGCAAGCAGAACGGGGCAAGCAGAACGGGGCAAGCAGAACGGGGCAAGCAGAACGGGGCAAGCAGAACGGGGCAAGCAGAACGGGGCAAGCAGAACGGGGCAAGCAGAACGGGGCAAGCAGAACGGGGCAAGCAGAACGGGGCAAGCAGAACGGGGCAAGCAGAACAGGGCAAGCAGAACGGGGCAAGCAGAACGGGGCAAGCAGCGGGCCTGTGTGAGGGTGGTGGGTGGGGGCGTATTATTGAGTCGACTAAAAAACAAACGGGAGGCTTGTGTGAGGGTGTTGGTAGGGCATGGCGAGGGGGAGTGTGATGATGAGCGCCACTGCTCCCAACACCTGGAGAGGTGGGAGAGGTGAGGGGTTAGGGAGGTTGGTGGTGGGTACAGAGCGCGTGGGTGTGGGTGGGTGTGTGGCTGGTGGTTGGGTGTCATGAGGGAGAGAGTGGTGATGATGAGCGCCACTGCTCCCAGCACCTGGAAGGGAGGAAGGGGGGAATAAACAAGGGGAAACGGGTATAGCGGGGGGATAGGAAAGAGGTGCGTGTGTGAACTGACTGACTGGGTAAATATTGGAGCGACTTTTGAGAATTCTCAAAAGGTGCATGTGTGAACTGACTGACTGGGTAATAGGAAGCGAAGAGAGGCAGTGTGACGCTGGAAACAATTGCTCCTCTCCCTAGCATGTAGAGGATTTAAGGGTGAACGGGTGGGTGGGTGGGCGAGTGGGCAGGTGTGTGGGTGGTTAGGGGCCACGAGATGGGAGCGGAGGAAGGAAAGGAAGGGCTAGTAGGGTGAGGAGGGAGGAGAGGAGGTAAGACGGTAGGACTGACCTGGATGCACGCTGAGACGAGCATGAGGTAGGATACGATGTGGATGGAGCAGCAGTTGATGAGGCAGCAGATGAGCCGATGAGCACGACCCGAGGGAAGAGAGGAGAGGACTGACACAGAATGTGCTGAGGAGAGAGAGAGAGAGAGAGAGAGAGAGAGAGAGAGAGAGAGAGAGAGAGAGAGAGAGAGAGAGAGAGAGAGAGAGAGAGAGAGAGAGAGAACGGACCTGGATGCACGCTGAAAAGAGCATGACGTATGAGACGATTTGGATGGAGCAGCAGTTGATGAGACAGCAGATGAGCACGACCCCGCATGCGATGCCAAACACCTCGTAGTGGTCCAGCATGAACCCATCCCCGTTCGCGCCTCCTGGAACACACATGAAGCAGCAGAGCAGAGAGACGCAAGCACAGTGCACAGGGAGCGGGAGCGGGATGATGAGGCAGCAGATGAGCACGACCCTGCATGCGATGCCAAACACCTTGTAGTGATTCAACATGAAGCCATCCCCGTTCGCACCACCTGCAGCACGGAGTCACAGACATGCAGCAGAGGACAGCTATGGAGTACCGTGAGAACGAGAATCCAATGAGACACAGCAGGAGAGAGCACCACCACCCCGCATGCGATGATGTCAAACACCTCGTAGTGATCCAACATGAATCCATTGCCGTTGGCGCCTCCTGTCCTGGTAGCATGATGAACCCAGCACAGAGACAGCAAGATCGAACGTGTCAGCAGACAAGATGAGCACCACCCCGCATGCGATGATGCCAAACACCTCGTAGTGATCCAACATGAATCCATCGCCGTTGGCGCCTCCTGTCCTGGTAGCATGATGAACCCAGCACAGAGACAGCAAGATCGAACGTGTCAGCAGACAAGATGAGCACCACCCCGCATGCGATGATGCCAAACACCTCGTAGTGATCCAACATGAATCCATCGCCATTTGCACCGCCGGGAGAGCGCACACATGCAGCAGCAGAGCACAGCCATGCAGCAGCAGAGCACAGCCATGCAGTACAGAGTTCGAGAGTGGAATAAGGCAGCAGCCAAGATGAGCACCACAGAACACCGTACGCGATACCAAACACCTCGTACTGGTCCAGCATCATCCCATTTTCCGGACGAGGTGCCATAGTAGGTCACCTTGGCATGCCATAGTAGGTCACCATGGCATGCCATAGTAGGTCACCTTGGCATGCCATAGTGGGTCACCATGGCATGCCATAGTAGGTCACCTTGGCATGCCATAGTAGGTCACCATGGCATGCCATAGTAGGTCACCTTGGCATGCCATAGTAGGTCACCATGGCATGCCACAGTAGGTCACCTTGGCATGCCATAGTAGGTCACCATGGCATGCCATAGTAGGTCACCATGGCATGCCATAGTAGGTGTAGGTCACCATGGCATGCCATAGTAGGTGTAGGTCACCATGGCATGCCATGAACATGAACATGTGCTGATGAGGAAGTGCTCTTGCAGTTTCAGTGAAATCACTTTTGAGAATCTCCTCTATTGAAATCGCTTTTGAGAATCTCCTCTATTGAAATCACTTTTGAGAATCTCCTCTATTGAAATCGCTTTTGAGAATCTCCTCTATTGAAATCACTTTTGAGAATCTCCTCTATTGAAATCACTTTTGAGAATCTCCTCTATTGAAATCACTTTTGAAATTCCCACATGTGCAAATGCCTCTCAAAAGTGATTTCAATGTGCTGATGCGGAAGAGCTCTTGCGGTTTTAGACTGGTGACGCCATAATTCAGATGTGCATGGGAATACACATGTGCATGTGACACCATGGCGTGGCGTACCTGTGCTCATATTCCTTCATGAAACGCGGAAGTGAGCGGTGCGAGCAGGCATGATCGAGAACCCACCTGTGCTGATAAGAATGAGCACTTGCAGGAGGGTGACGCCGTAATAAGACACCATGGCATGACCCACCGCGAGCCCAACGAACTCCATCCATGCCTGCACACGTGCATGTATGCATGTATGGAAGGAAGAGCACATGTGCTACTGAAGATGAGTTCTCGCGCTAGGACAGATTTGGCGGTTTTTTTAAAATACATGGGTGCACGAGACCGTGGCATGGCATGACCCACCGCGAGCCCAACTAACTCCATCCATGCCTGTACGCATGTATGTATCCATGCATGGTGATGCGGCCATGTGCAGGGTCATGTCATGATGGGTTATCAGGTAAAGGGTAGTTTCATAAGGTCATGAAATCGTGAGGACCAGCAAATTCCGTCAATGCCATACCAGCATGCTTACAAGGTGATGGGTGCAGGGGGGGGTTGTTACACTGCGTCATATAAAAAGGTCAACTTGTTGTGGGTTATGAGTCATAACTTATGACATGTTTGGAGCACTTCAAAACAGCGTTCGACTGATGGTGTCATATCATGCTATAGCGTAATCTTATTATATCAAATCGTATCATATTTCATCATCGGTTCCAGTAGGTATCGATGTTGAAGCCATTATGCGATGGAGTGGGGGTGGGGCATGTGGGTGTGAATGGGAGGTGAATGAACGGGACACTTCAAGTGAAACCGTAAGTAGATCGAAACAAATTAAATCGCATTTCGTGGTGAATCAAATCAGATCGCATCTCACCGTGATGAACGACGCAAGTGGGCCCCACTTTGGCCCTGCCAGAGCTGCCGCCCAAAAATAGAGCGAGCCAGCTGTCTGGAGGAAGAGGATAGTGAAATCAGAAGGGGAGCAAGGGGGGCGGGGGAGGGATTGGGGGGGGGGGGGGGGGAAAGGGAGTTGGATGGTGGGGAGGGGGGGGGCGGGGAAAGGAAAGAGATGTAATGGATCGATAGAGATGGAGCGGAGGAGGGTAGGGTGGGAAGGAGGTGAGGAGGAGGTCTGGGCTTAGAAAACGGTAGGGTGGATGGAGGTGAGGGGGGGACGTTACTAGATGTTGTTGCTGTCGGAATGCAGAGGTTCTCAGGTAGGAAATGGTTGTATCTGACCAGTGGTAGTTCGGGCTGTTTAGCCTTGAGCTCCCTTTGATGATCTTAGTTCTGATTATCTCAAACATTTGATTATTTCAAGGTTTTAATTCACCAGAAAGGGCTTGCATGGTTTGGTTGGTTGGCTTTATCATGCAGCGAGAATTTACTGAGGAGGAGAAGATTTCAGCCATGCTGCTAAGAGAGATGAATTGTGAAGGCTACAGATGGGCTTGTAGACTTTTGAGCCGACTCAAAAAAACAAAAAACCGAGGAGGTGGGAATTTTAGCCGTGCTGCTTGCTAAGAGAGGTGAACTAGGCAGGCTAGAGATGCCCTAGTAACCGACACCGGTTTCCACCGCTTTCAACCGTTCTCTTCCACTTACAGGGAAGGAGGAGGAGATTTCTGCCATGCTGAGAGCGATGAGGTGCACTGCAACGGCTGTGATCCACCAGTACCAGATGAGCCCTCCTGGCCCACCGTCATGGAAGCCTTGTCTGTTGGTGGGGCGGAGAGGGAGAGAGTACAGTACAGTACAGTACAGTACAGTACAGTACAGTACAGTGCAGTACAGTACAGTACAGTGCAGTGCAAAGAGGTGACTGAGGTGCACTACTTCCGCCGTGATCGACCAGTACCAGATTTTGAACCCTTGTCTGTTGGTGGGTGGGAGGGTGAGTGATGAGAAGGGGAAATAGGTGCAAAGTGGTGCAATGAGGTGGACTGAGGTGCACTGCTACAGGTGTGATCCACCGGTACCAAATCAGCCCTGCTGGGCCACCGTCATTGAACCCTTGGCTGTTGGTGGGAGAATGGAGAGTGACGTGGTTCATTGCGGTACAAGGAGGTGAAATGCGGTGCTATGAGGTGCAGCGCAGGTGCACCGCAACGGCTGTGATCCACCCTGCTGGCCCACCATCATTGAATTCTTGCCTGTTGGTACAGGGGAGGGGGTACAGTCCAGTGCAATGAGGTGGACTGAGGTGCACTGCTACAGCTGTGATCCACCAGTACCAGATCAGCCCTGCTGGACCTCCGTCGTTGAACCCTTGTCTGTTGGTGGAAGGGAGAACAGGAAATGGGTGCAAAGAGGTGCAGTGAGGTGCCATGCTGAGAGCGATGAGGTGCAATCCCACGGCTGTGTGATCCACCAGTACCTGACCAGCCCTGCTGGCCCGCCATCGTTAAAGCCTTGCCTGTTAATGTTGGAGATAGGGAAAGATATAGAGGTGCAGTGCGGTGCGATGAGGTGCAGTGCAGTGCGGTGCAAAGAGGTGGACTGGGGCGCTGCAACGGCTATGATCCACCAATACCAGAAGAGCCATGCTGATCCACAATCATTGGACCCTTGTCTGTCGGTGGGATGGAAGGGGAGTAATTACAGAGGTGCAGTGCGGTGCAATAAGGCGCACTGCTACCGCCGTGATCCATCAGAACCAGACAAGCCCTGCCGGCCCACCATTGTGAAAGCCTTGTGTGCATTGCAAGTCAGAGAGAGGTGGGGGTGGGGGCGACATGTTTGGAAGAAGGGTACGCGGAGGAGAAGGAGGCAGAGGCGGAGGGGAGTGGAAGGAGCAGAGAGGAGAGCAATCTGAGGCGTTGAGAGGCACTGAGAGACACTGAGAGACATTGAGAGGCATTGAGAGACATTGAGAGGCATTGAGAGGCATTGAGAGGCATTGAGAGGCATTGAGAGGCATTGAGAGGCATTGAGAGGCATTGAGAGGCATTGAGAGGCATTGAGAGGCATTGAGAGGCATTGAGAGGCATTGAGAGGCATTGAGAGGCATTGAGAGGCATTGAGAGGCATTGAGAGGCATTGAGAGGCATTGAGAGGCATTGAGAGACATTGGAAAGCATTGAGAGGGAGATGAATTGGAAATGAGAGGGGGAAAGAGAGGATTGGGAAGGTGATCGGAAAGGGGACGTGAGAAAGGGGAATGTGTGAGGTTGGAAGGTGTGATGGGGGAGTGAGGTGGGGAGATGGAAGAGGGAGATGAGAAGGGGAAGGTGACAGGAGGGAGATGAAAGAGGGAAAGATAAGACAGGGGCGGTAAGTGGAGGGAGGTGAGTGAAAAGGACTTAGGGGGGAAACGCCTTGACTCGAAGCCACAATCATGGAGTCATTGCACGGGGGTAGAATAGAAGTCATTCGACTGTAAACGCGATAAAAAGGCAAAACTTGAATCACATTATGTACGCATATTATTAGGAGCACATTACTAACGCGTACATAGGGACAAGGAATAGTTACTTACGCGTACATGGGGACCACCCACGCCTTTTCCATTGAACGCCTACCAGGGGAAACCACCTTCAAACGGAACACTTACCAGCGAACGCTTCAGCTCCTGCCGGTAACCAAGTTCGTTAAGCCGCCGTTCGCCCGAGTCGAGCGCGAGCGACATGGTAACCCCATCCTCCATCGTGATTTCGAGAATCTTCTGCTCTTCGCCAATGTCGTCGTCGTGTCGCTCGATCATCGCCACCACCGCGGCGCCTTGAAACGCGGGCGCCTCCGAGTACAGCTGCATCTCCTCGCGCTCCATCGCGCCGCCGTCGCCGCCGCCGTCCGCGGCGCTTCCGTTCTTCTCCGCCGAGCCGTCGCCGCCACCGTGCTCCTCGTATTCCTCCGCCGCGCCCATGGCTGAAAGCGCGCCGCGAGAGAGAGCGAACTCTTGGGAACTATTTGTAGAGGCAGGCTTCGTGTGTTAACAGACGTTTATACGCATCGCGCGCAGGGCCGGAAAACGTTGGCTCGAACCTAAAAAGGTCACGGGAGGGGGAGGGAAGAGGGAAGGGGTTGGGGGGGTGGGCGAGGGGAAGGAGGAGCGGGGGGAAGGGGTGGGGGGAAGGGATGGGGGGGATGGACGCAAGGACGCACGGACGGACGGGATGAACGAGACGGAAAGGAATGGACGGATTTGGAAGACTTCTTTCTTTGTGAAGAGCGGTTCGGCTGCGACTCGAGCTGTAAATGAGGAGCTTCGAACGACTGGGGCGTGGAGGCAACGCGATATAAGAGAATTTTTTAGACGTCTAAAATTCTCACTTCTATCGCATGGAGGCAATGCAAGCGCGCTGGAAACGGCTGGCACGCGGGGCGTGCTGCTACGTGCAACGTGCAATGCGCTGGGAAATGATTTACGCGCAATGCGCTGCGGCGGATTGCACGTTGCACGCATGATGCCTCGTCGACGAAACGACGCAAAAAAGTCGGCGGCCTCAGTCTGTCAGGCATTCTGCGCTTGATTTAGGTACCCCTTGAAGTCGCTTTCGGTTTTTGAGCCGACTCAAAACGGAAGTGACTTTAGAGCCGACACGAAGGTCACCCCATTCTGTGCATCATGGCTTGCTCATACGTACCTGCTTTTGAAACGACTGTAGCAAGGAAAATATTAGGTAGCTACTCTTATCGATGCTTTCTCGATTCGCGCCACGAGCTCCCACTACGGACTCTAACGGATTCTAGGAGGGTTTACGCATGACGTGGATAGAATGGGACCGTTTGAGCAGCTGGACACAGCTACAAAAAGAGCGAGGGAAGGGAAAGGCACGAAGGTCGGTGAAAAGAAGGGATGAGTTGAGACCGACAAGGCTGGGTGGGACCGAGAGAGGTCCTGAGAGGTAGTTATTACTGTACTGTAACTGCAATGGACAGGACATGATATGCAAACGTGCACCCTGAGGTCATGGCGAGTGTGGGCTGGGTTTGCGGGTGCGACTCGACTCGACTCAAGCGAGACAGGCTGGAAGGGCCATCATGAGAAGCGACCCTCCCTCTCTCACAAGGCTTGAGCGGGAAAGACTATTGGAAGATATTTCCTCTTTCAAAGAACACAATTTTCCCCATCGAAGGAAAACTTTACAGAATTTATGGGGTATTTTACTTCCCGCCATCCTTCAAAAATTGCTCTTGGTACAAAACATTTGAGTGGGCATGGATGACGCTTAAGTCAGAAGTGATGGAAGCTGTAGGAGGTTATGGAATCTACTGTAATTGTTGAACTTGCTGGTTCGAAAGGGAAACGGATAGAAATTGCGCAGATTTGAAGTCATACGATTTTATCATTATTTTACCATAGGCAGGCAAACAGCTGGGAACTGCAGACAATGAGCTGGCAAAAACAAGATTGGCATGTGGGGAGGAAGGGAAGGCTGCCCATTTGTTCTCCACGAAGAATATACTATCTGCGAAGAGGAACGAGAAAGTGCGAGAAGTGGTTGCGAAAAACGAGTTGACCGTTAGACTTTTCTTTCCCCAATGGGTATACAGAACAAGAGCTCGTTAGACGGAAACTGGGTAACAAGGGCTGGTTGGGTGGTTTGGAAGTCAGGTTCGGAATGGATGCAAAGCACCCTCACGAAACCAATTTGCGACGACTAGTGTCATACTGTACTTGCGACGACCACACCCTTAGAACTTTAGTAGAGCGAAAAAAGTTGCTCCTCCTTAGCGTTCTCCACCACGTGTGGTGCACCAGCAATGTTTCCATATAAACTTAGTTCATCAAACGATGACCTTAGGACTTGAAGCTTACCTTAGAAACGGTCCCCTGTCGCGGAATCGAGTGTGTCGGAGGCGGGGGATGCGGATGTGCAGCACGGTGAGAGGGTGTGGCGTCGTGTAATACCAACAATGCACGGAGATCCTAGATTCCCCTCCTATCACGCGGCCCGCCGACATCACTGTTCCCATTCTCGTCACCCGCGACTTCTCTTCCCGTCGCCCCCACTACCTCGTCCAGTCGCACGCACCTTCACTTCCCTTCGCCTTCAATTTGCAGCCCCGCCATCACTTCAACGTCGCGTTGCCCTCACTTCCCCGTCGCGTCGCCCTCACTTCTGATGTTGAGACATTTCCAGCGAGCAGCAGCGCGCATGAGAAAGTTTAGCAGAGGAAATGACTCAACAATCTGCAGGCCCGCCGCCATCACGTCCCCGTCCCGTCGCCATTGCCCGTCCCGTCGCCATTGCCCGTCCCGCCGCCATTGCCCGTCCCGTCGCCATTGCCCGTCCCGTCGCCATTTCCCGTCCCGTCGCCGTCACTTTCTTTTTATGTTGATTTTGAGAATTCTCAAAATCAGCCTTCAATCTGCAGTCCAGCCACCATCACTTCCCCGTCGTGTCGCCCTCACTTCCGCCTTCCCATCTCCCTCAATTCCCTTTCTCCTCGCCCTCATTTCCCCTTCCCGTCCCTTCAGCTCCCCAGTCGTCCACAAATCACCTATCCTAAGCCCTCACTTCCCTTTCCATCCGTTTCCCCCCTGCCTCCATTCACTTTCTCCCCCCTGCTTTCCTTCACTTTCCTCCCTTCATCCCTTCCCCCCTTCCTCATTTCTGTTTCCCCCTTGCCTCCCATCCGTGTCCCCCGTGCCTCCATTCACTTTCTCCCCTGCCTCCATTCACTTTCTCCCCCTTCGTTCCTTCAGTTTCATCCCTTCCTCCCTTCAGTTTCCCCCCTTCCTCCTTTCCGTTTCCCCCCTGCCTCCCTCCGATTTCCCCCCTTAGTTGTCCTCACTCCCGCCGTCTAGTCTCCTTTCACACACTGCTGTTTCCGTTTTGGAGCCCACTCAATCCCCCTTCACTAACCCGATTTCTCCCCTGCTCGGCTCACTCTTTCCCCTCCCCATTTTTTCTTTCCTCCTCTGCTCACTCTTTCTCCCTCCACTCACCCAAATTCTTCCCTGGACACTCTCTACTCTCCATCACTCTCCCAATTTCTCCCCTTCTCACTCTCTTTCCTTTTTCACTTACTCTCTTTCCCCCCTCTTCACTCTCTTTCCTCTTTTGCTCACCCCAGTTCCACCCTTCTCCCTCTCTTTTCCCTTGTTCAACTTTTGCTCACCCCAGTTCCCCCCTTCTCCCTCTCTTTCCCCTTGTTCCCCTTTTGTTCACCCCAGTTCCCCCCTTCTCCCTCTCTTTCCCCTTGTTCTCCTTTTGCTCACCCCAGTTCCCCCCTTCTCCCTCTCTTTACCCTTGTTCCCCTTTTTCTCACCCCAGTTCCCCCCTTCTCCCTCTCTTTCCCCTTGTTCTCCTTTTGCTCACCCCAGTCCCCCCCTTCTCCCTCTCTTTACCCTTGTTCCCCTTCCCCCCTTCTCCCTCTCTTTCCCCTTGTTCTCCTTTTGCTCACCCCAATTCCCCCCTTCTCCCTCTCTTTACCCTTGTTCTCACCTATCTTCCCATCTGCCGTACTCACTTTCCCCGTTGTGCACCCCTTTTTCTCCACTCGCTCTCTTTCCCACTCACTCACTTTCCCATTTCACTCACACCCTTTCCCCCATTCTAACCCCTCTTGTTGTCCTGCTAACATTCCCCTTTGCCCATCCCTTAGCGCTGTCGCTTCCCATGCCCTTCTGTACGCTTCACCCGCCACTACCTCCGTCATTTCCCCCCTGCATGCAGTGCAGCAGACAGGAGTGGGAATGATTATGTTAGGGCGGATTCCTGACTTTGGGTCATCCGCTCTTTGAGTCATTCGAAATTGTTGGATCCAATAGAAAAACCTCAATCTTGATATTCGGGTTTTCCGATTGGAACCCACATTTTCGGATGACTCAAAGAGCGGATGACCCGAAGTCAGGAATCCGCCCTTATTGTCTCTTAGTTTTGTGCCAATAATAAATTCGTTTGTCGTACAGAATTTGAATCAAGAATACAGTGTTTCTTTTAATGGAAACACAAACAGAAGCTCTCCTAGACATGAGTTGGTGACCGTAAATCAGCAACGTAGATGCAGGTATCCTTTCTGGATTAACATACCGTATAGTACACATATGGAAGGCCACTGGCCAACATAATCAACTCAGCAACACGCGTTCCCCTGTACCCCTAATCCCTCCCCAATCACCTCCCCCCTACCTCCCCCTTCCTCTCCTTCCTCCCACACCATCTGTCCCCTGCACCCCACCCCCATTCTCACATCTCATTCTATCTCACCTGCATCTGCACACATAACTACTTCCATCACCAAATCATTAATCACCAATTCAACCCCATAAACGCCACTGCCTGTATTCACCAGACATTCAGGGGAATGGGGACCGTTGAGAGTCCGTGCACCTGAATGTGCTTAGTCAGACTCATATTCACCTGGTTCAGTGGGCCAAACGATTTAGCTCCCGGGGCTTTGAAGTAGCATTCCTTCTTGGCGTACGCATTCATCTTCACCAACTTCTGGCCCATGTTCATTGTGCGGAACTGCCACATCGGCACTGTAGCGAGCAGCCGATTTTTGCTGAACATCCCCCTTACGATCAGATTCTTCATTATGCGAAGGCGCTGCTGCGGAGTGTACGCCTCCCACTTCTTTTTCATGAACTGGTTCCCAATGTTGCTCGGAATGAGGATGGTGGAAGGGCCGTCAAGGGTGATGAGCTTATACCTTGCTGCACGCGCAACCAAGAAACATCGCAGATGGATTAGGTTAAGGACGCAACAGAGTGTGATGCTTCTCGAGACGACTCAAAGGTTAATGAGGATGTGGAAGGGCCATCGAAGGTGATGAGCTTGTACTTCGCTGCACACGCAACCAAAGAACGTCGGGACTAGATTAGGTCAAGGACGCAACAGACCATGTCGACTAAGCCAAGGCGATACACAGTGCGACGATACAAGCTAGGATGATGCTGTCGTTTCCTCCGCCAAAAAAAGGGATATCGCGGAAGAGCGCGTGCACTTGATCAAGCCTTGGATGTCTGGGATCTCAAGCGGGGGTTTACACATTTACTAGATTCAAGGCAACAAAAGTTTTGCGCAGGAGTCGCGAGGAAAGGATCCTTTGCATTTCACGGTCAAGCTCACCTGCGGTGTAGAATCGTTCGGCGAAAACAGAATGAAACTTGAACTTTTTATCGATGTCCTTGAGCGCCGCTACGAGCTCCCATTGCGGGACGCCAGTGGGCTTCGTTGGCGGCTTCTTAGGGGCTTGTTTCCGCGCTTCAACGCCCCTTGCGGCGTGAGGACTCGGCGCGAGAAGAACAGCCGAGACGAGCAGCACCGCGAGGAGTTCTCGCGAACGTGTGAACGGTGATGACATGATGCGCGACGTTACGCTCCAGGCAGTGAAAGGCTTGAAGACGTAAGAGAAACAGGTTCTTAGTATCCGCACATCCAGATTGACTTCAGGACTTGAAGACCAGCCTGTCAGAAAAAATCCGGAACTCGGCTAAGGAACGCGGACCCGCTGAGGGATTGACGAGATGTGAGGGTGAAGAGGAAAGCGTGGTGACGCTGAATGTCGTGACGAATTTGAAGGATGAATGGGAAGGGGGGGGGGGGAGGCAAGAACGAGGGAGGGAGGGAGTGTACGACAGCAGGGAAGATGATGCGGCGGCGGATTGGACCAAAAACCACGTTTGGCTTTCTAGTGAGATGGCGTTCAGGGTCTGCCGAACTTATGCAATGAAAGTGCAACTTCTTGGGTCCAGCTTGGCAGAGTGTGCGACGTCAGGGAAACTGCGAAATAAACCGTCCAATCGACATCCGCAGACACACTCCAATTAACCTAAAGACTTCCTCCAATTGGACGTGTGGGTGATCGCAAGTTTAGAGCCGTGAACTCACGCCGGACGTGTGATGTCCAGATTCTTCCGCGCTCTCTTGTTCGACGCCACAAAACAATTGTCCTTTCATGTGGGCAAACCTCGATGTTACCTCCGCGAACGCCATAGAGCTGTCGCTGCAGTCTCAGTCTCGAGTGTATCTTTGACGCGCCCCTCCTGACGGATTTTTTCCAACCTGCATATTCAGGGCTTCGTGAAGGCCGGTGTTCTACGGAAATGTGTGAGTTGTTAAGTGACAAATTCTTACCGAGTATCTAACAATTCACAAATAGGTCATTATGTTTTAATGCCGCTTCTACTTTTACAAATCTGTGCTCGCCACCTCTTGAGCCAAATGGTCAGAACGCTTAAGAAAAACGTTCTGTCGAAATTCCTTGTTCTTTTCACCTTCTACTTTGTAGGGTACTTTAAAAATAAACACACGTGGACTTTCCATGATGTTAACAAACTAAGTCCTTCAAAACTACTCGAACCATTAGATGGTGCGTTTTTCGTCGACGGTGATTCTGTCCATGCCAAACCTTACCTTTACCTTTTCTACCCCTCCAATTTTCTCATTCTGCCCGTCGCCCGCGTGGTAAGAAAGTTCCTACCGAATTTACCGAGATATACCATTTTTCATCCGTGCGAGTGCCACCACCTTCGGCACGTGGGAGATCTATCGGCTTGTACTCCACAGGGAGACCCCACTACAAGACCCACACAACCCCTACCTAATCTACAAACAACATCCCTCTGGAGGCATGAAGAGAAACCAATGTAGAATAAATGGTTAGTTACCAATACATAAAACTGGAGGTACATCAGCCAGAAGGACGTTTTATTCTGAGGCCCTGGACGAGGACGTTGTACAAAAATTCCTCTAGAAAACGGATGTATCAACTCATTCGCATTTCTAGTGCGGAGTGGCTGCATTGCATATTTAGAGCTGCTGATGCATATTTGCACACATGTACATGAAGGATTCTCAAGCAAAGGAACAAGCAACGGCCCTCCTTGATCAACTGACCATAAAATAAATGCCTGGACTCAGCTTATTATTGCCAACCCGAAGCCTCCATCCAAGTGTTTTACGCATTAGGTGGGATAGGGACTGTAGAGATGCCATGGACCTGGATATTCCTCGTGATGCTCAAATTCGCCATGTTCAGTGGGCCGAACGCAGAACCCCCTACAGCTTTAAAATAGCATTCTCTTGTTGAGTAGCTGTTCATCTTGACCAGCTTCAAACCCATATTCATGGTGGGGAACTGCCACAAGGGCACAGTGGACAGCAGCCGGTCCTTACTGAACTTCCCCTTTATAATCAGATCCTTCATGATGCGAAGCCTCTGCTGGGGAGTGAAAGCCTCCCACTTCTTTTTCATGAACTGATTGCCAATATCGGACGGAACAAGGATCGTGGAGGGACCCTCCAGGGAAATAAGCTTGACCCTAGCTGCAAGGAGGAAAACGAGAGGAAAATAAAGACTGGCTTAGCTGGCTCAATTTAGAAATGCTGGAAAGTTATGTCCGTCCTGCAGCTGCCATGTCCTCAGCAAAGAATCCTCACTTGATAAACGTACCAGCAGTGTAGAAACGTTGCGCGAAGACTGAGAAAAAAGGGTACTTTTTATCGAGGTCCTTGAACGCCGTTAAGAGCTCTCGATTCAGCAGGTCGGCACGCGATGGGGGCTTCTTTGCCGGTGCCCTCTTGACAGCGACGGTGTGCGGAACTAAAAGCACCAGCAGAATGGTTGCTAAGGTCATGGCGATGTTCACTGCACGGGGTGTCAGAAACAGCCTCATTGCGACCGCGAGAAACGAACAAGGGATTGGAGAATCAAATTTCTCGGATGAGGAAGGCGCAATGACGCGAAGCTCGGCGAGTCTGAGGATCTACTACGAAACACGGCTAACGATACACGGCTGAGTTTCACAAATAAGCGTGTCTCTACGGTCGCCGCCGGACAAGGAACGAGCGCCTCGTTTGGTGCAGTTTCCCGTTAGAGGGAGAAGAGGGAGGGGAGAACTGGTGCTGGACGGTGTGGGGTTACGTCTGCTGTTGTCGCGACCTGGACTCGACATCGGCTCGAAGCGGCTGTTTCTGACTCCTTGGCTTACAGCTTTATCCATCCAAGGTGCCGCGATCATTTCAGAGAAACTGCTTTGAGAGAATCTGAGACCTCGACCCACCTCGTAAGCCATTTGCAGGATCGACGAAGAATGGGGTAAGTGAGCCCGCTACAGATTGTACGCTGGCGATACGGAACGTGTCGGTGCAGGCTCGCGGGGCTATAATGCAGCATGGCTTATGCTTGGGCCTCCGACGAGGCTCCTGCAAAACCTAAACAAAATCCCTGCACGGTTTCTTTTCACCAACATAGCGAACCCATCGGTCGGACTGCGAGCCAGGTATGTCCAGCCAATTTTCCGGCGCCAGTAGACACTGTCATATTCGGCGCGCGTAGCGCGTTCGGATCAGAAGCGCATAATGTCGATTGGACTTCCTTGGCGAGTAGAGCTACTCTGAGCAGGGCAATTGGAACAACACTTGCAAGTGATATCGGCAGCGAGATGCGGTTTCACTTGTGTGCACCGTCGTCCCACCCCACTCCACTCCCACCACTTCGCACTGGGCGTGGCGCACAGCAACGGGGGTCTCTTTCGTGCTGTTACGGGTGCAATGAATCGAAGTAGCGAGAATTGCACTAAGGTGTCAAAGGAGTACCAAGATGTGAGCGAAGGCATGAGCGAACATTTATACGCGAAACATGCAAACGGTAACGCGGTGCGTGCGAGCTAGCTAGTGCTATGCTGGCAGCGAGGCTTGGGCTAGTCCCGAAGCGTAGGCCGACACGGCCGGGCCAGCAGTGCGAGGTTTGGCAAAACAGTGCGCGCGAGGTTGGCGAAGTCCCGTTAGCAGTAACGGGCGAGCAGCGGCTGTTGCTGTACGCGATGTAGTCGGGCTCCGTAAGAAATGCCGAGAAAATTCCTTACACTACCCCCCCCCCCCCTCAAGAAGCCCCCTCCGCTACGCGAGTGCGTGTATATCGCGGAATCCCCGGCTCCTCAGGTACACTTGCAGGGCAGGGTGGTTTTCGATGTTGGCTAGGGGCACCAGGGCCCAAAATTGGTTTTGCCCTACCCTTACAAATCAGGGTAACACCACCTCCTTGAACAGACCCCTAGGGTAAAATTTTCCGTACCCTGTTTGCAGCAGGGTAAGTCAACATCTAGCCTGATTTGAGCAGGGTATTTTTAGCCTAATCCTGATTTGATAACCATTTTGAGAGCTAACTATTTTTTATGAGCATAATAACATAGCACATCCAAAATCTAGTCACTCAACATAAGCCACACATGCACTACACACCTATTCAGTGCCACCCCCACTGCCAACATTCTCAACAAACTGAGTCTGAGAAGCTCTGGTGGGGTCGAACTCCCTGGTGGATCGCCTCAGCTTCTCTCCACGGAAGATAGCGACCACCTCAAACCAGTCGACATCGTACCGCAGCAGGGAGCAGCGCATCAGATGCTCCAGGCTTGTGTCGCAAAGGCTGCCACGCCCCCAAGTCTTGATCAGGTTCTGCTTCGAGAAGCCACGCTCACATTCAACCGTGCTCAATGGCAATACGGCCACTGACTGCCACAGCCGCATGATGTTGGGGAAGGAGACCCGCCACGCATCATCCCGCAGCATGTTCGTTAGCGCCTGGTGGAATTCTTCGTTGTTGTGCTGGGCGAACATTGTGGATGTGAACATCCACAGCTCCTGCTGTGCTCTCTTGTAGTCGAACCCTGTGGGGGGGGCGGGGTTGGGGTGAAAGCTTGGCCGATGCTCGCAGACACGAGTAGGGATGGGGGGCATTAGTCCAACAAGCAAAAATATGCAGTATGTGTAATGGTCAGCGAAGGCGCGCACACATATCCTAACAAGTGCAATCGCTGCAAATGATATACCTGGCAGCTTGTGGTGGTACAACTTGTGCAGCTGGCCGAGCCATTTCTTGAAGGTTTCCACTCGCTTCGTGTCGTCGGTCACGTACGAAGCTGTACGAAACAGCTTCGAACCTTCCAGCAGCTCCAGGTCGCGCATCCGCCACTCCAGCTCTTTGTCGATGGCGCGCACATACTTAATCGACAGCTCGACGCACGCCGTGACATCGCCATCCGTTTCATGTCCAGGCAGCGGACGCTCGTGCAGTGTGAACTCAAACGTGACGGGATTCCCGTCCCCGTCTACGCCCTCCGCCTTCATCTCGCGCTTATCATTTGCCCCGTGCTTCTTAATGAACTCGGGAAGCTGCATTTTCTCGCCGCTGCCGAAATGGTGTGCAGGGTCGCGAAGGGAATACCGCGTCTTCAAACGCATCCTTGTCTGCTGCACGATGTGCGCAACAAGGGTAATGTCCACCTGCACAAGGGCCAGCCAGCGAGTTAGTTAGTACACTTGCTTGCATGCGACAACATAGACGACAGCAACAAAGGCCCTTACCTGGCGCTGCAGGAAGCGCTGGTTAAGGCAGTTCAGTTCCCAAAGCACATCCGCTAGAAAGCGGATGAGCCAGTTGAACTTGAACGAGGTAACCACCTCGTACAAAGCCGCCTTGTAATCCTTCATCACCACGATGGCCGCAGGGAGTACGTCGAGCAGGCGCTGTATCGCTTCACCACGGGCGAGCCATCGTGTGTCGATAATCCCCTGCGCCTCGAGATTCGTCTGGCAGAAGATCCGCTGCAACTCCTGAAACTTCGCGTAGTCCACGCTGCTGCGGCCGATGTGGTCAGCGAAGGCGCGCACGACATCGTCGATCATCAACAGCTCAGGTACCTCTTCAGCAGCATCACTGGCTGCGAGTGCCTCCCTGCACATCAGTGGCAACACGACGGCGAGTTAGCCAAAATCTAAACTTCATAGAACAGCAGCACGGAGCACACAACGGTGAATCTTACCGATGAGCGATACAATGTGTTGAGGCCAGATGCGGAATGCGCATGCGAAGCCGTGTCACGACTCCTCGGTTCTTGCCGACCATGACGCTGGCACCATCGGAGGCGACGCTGGATATCTTCTGGAGGTCGACCCCAATACCTGTCAGATACTGCACGACAGCGGATGTGAGTGAGGCACCGTCACAACGGTTAACAGTAATGGGTGTCAGGAACTCGGTGACCACCGTGGTACGCTGGAAGAACGTGGCGTATAGAATGAGGTGTTTCCCATTCACACGGTCCGTGCTTTCATCGAGTTGAATCCCTATCCACGAGGATTCGAGCAGGTGCTCGCGCTGTGTCTCTTGGAGGTACGTTGACAGGGCGCGCAGGTTCTCTTTGAAGCCGTAACTGCCAGGGGACAAAACACGTGGTCACATACCCGGGTGGTTTAAAAAACACCAGTATTCAGTTCAGGCCAAGGACTTACTCTGTATAGTACGCGCCGTAGCCGCCACCTGGCGGCAGGTCTGGTAACCCCTCTTTCGCGAGAAACCAACACAGCGGGACGAACATCGCTATGGGTGCGTCGGCCTTACAGACAAAGTGCGCGATGTGGAGGAGCCGAATGATGTGACGAGTGGAAGCGTCCGTGCCCTGCCATCGTGTGATAGTGACCTGCTTCGCCTTCTCCGCCTCCGCCTTCTCTTCATTCTCCAACGCCTGCCTGTGTGCACGGGAGGAGGTGTGAGTGCGGATGCTGCCGATCTGGAGGTCCCGAGCACCCTCACCCTTCGCACCGTACGCGGTGTGCGCAAGTGGATCTCCATGCTTCACACAAATCGCACACTTCAGAGAAGGACGACCGTTAGACATGCGGAGCAAACGTAGCCAGTTAAAGCTCCCTGCCCACTGACCCTCAAATGTCTTTTTAACCGATTCATACTCAGCATCTGCCAGATCGGTGGGTGGCTTCGGATCGGCCGAAGGAGCAGGGCGCTTGTGGGAAGTTGCGTTTCGGGGAGGCGGGGCGCCCCAGAGCGTCTGCTGGTTGTACGTAGCTCCCACGCGCGGTCGCTTCACGGGCGCGGTGCTGATCGTCGATGGCGAAGCGGTAGGCGGCTTTGACGAGCCCTCGCCACCTCCGGGAACTAATTCTATCTCAGGATGTGGCTCCCACGCCGTGGGTGAGTCTGGCGGCTCGAACGGATAAACAGTCCCTACCACACATTCTGGTGACGGCTCACGAGGCGGCGGCTGAGCGATGGGCACGGCGTAGTTCTCGCTAAGGCGTGGTAAAACGCCCAGCACAGAGAGGCCGTTTCTAGCGCCATCAGGCGGCTCGGGCTCTCCAGTGGGCATTGTGGAGGTGAAAATTGAGAATGGTTGAGAATGAGGGCCAAGCAACGGACCCCCTCGTAGAGAACGAGCCTCTGCCTGACTCTCAAGGGTCGTTTCATGCATGCGGCGGGGAGCATATGGCCAGCAAGGCAGGACTGCTCTTGCAATTTGATGTTAAGGACAGCTTGAAGCTGTCCTGGACAGCTTGAAGCTGTCCTTGACAGCAAATTCTGCTGTGTTGGAGGTGGGCGTGGCTACGGGTGGCAAGATTCGAGATTGAGTTGGCAGTCCTGCGGAGAGAAACAACAAATGTGGCAACTTGGCGCGTTGCCGACAGCGTGGCAAGGATTTTACGCGTGCTTACAAAAGACAACCGGTGTTTGTGGGGGTGTGGTTCAATTTGGCGCCTCGCGGACTGTGGTCTGATTCGCGTTACGAAAGATTCGGTAACAGGGTAGTCTACACCGTACCCTGATTCCGTCAGGCTAACACTAAATCCTATCAGGGTAAAAAAAAACATGCACTTTTTAGAGAAGGGTAACTATACAGCATTCCTGATTTCGGCAGGGTAATCCTGAAAAATGGACAGGCCCCCAGGGTAATCAGGGCGTTTTACCCTGATATTTTGGGCCCTGAGGGGCACCCAGCTATCTTCAGTTGGCGTGCGGTCCTTCCAGCGAACGAGGAATTCAATCCTCCTGATTCCCGTGGGGTGGCGAATCCGATGGCTCATGTTTTTTTCGGGCTCGATGATCGGCTCCGATGCAGGGCGAGTCATGGAATGCGGGCGGTGACGAGGCAGTTGGCTGGTGGTTGGGATGTACGGGCGAAGTAGGCTGACGTGGAACGATGGGCTGATGTACCAGTCGGTCGGTAACAGTAGGTGCGCGGTTACTGGCGTGATCATGTGGCTGATTTGGAATGGGCCACAGTAGCGCGGTCGAAGTTTCGGTACGTCGGGCAGTCGCAGATTTTGCGTGTCGAGCAGAACGTAATCCCCTGACTGGTACGTGACTGGGCGGCGGTGGCGGTCATCATTGCGCTTAGCGATGATGTTTGCCTTTTTAATTGCTTCTGCGGCTTTGGTGCGGGCAGCTTGCAGAATTTCGACGAATTGCTGTGCACGTGGTGTTGGGTTGTCCGGACTCGGCGTCATAGGCACTGTAGGGTTTTGCCCGTAGTTCAGGTAGAAGGGGGACAGCTGCGTCGTCGCTGACGTGGCGTTGTTGTACGCGAACTCGATCAGCGGCAGCTGCTGCTCCCAAGTCGTGGGGTCGTCGCACGTGGCACGAATCAACTGCTCCATAGTCTGATTCGTCCGCTCCGTTTGACCGTCGGTCTCGGGGTGGTACGACGAATTGAACTGTAGCCTGGTCCCGAACTGCTCCCAGAGCTTCTTCCAGAAGTTGTTGGTGAACTTCGTGTCCCTGTCGCTGATAATCGCTGCTGGTATCCCGTGCAGGCGAACAATGGCTGCGATGAACAGGCGAGCGGTCTCCTCGGCTGAGATCGACTTTTTGCACGCAGCGAAGTGTGCCATCTTCGTCAACCTGTCAACGACGACCATCACCGCGTCGTTACCCCCAAGGTTCGAAGGTAACCCTGTGACGAAGTCCATGGTAACCTGCTGCCAGGCGCGCTCGGGCGGTGTTATCGGCTGCAATTGACCCGCCTTCCGCTTCCTCGAGCTCTTCATCACCTGACACGTGGGACACGAGCCCACGTGCTGCTGCACGTCGGTCAACAACTCCGGCCAGTAGTAATACCGCTGCAGTTGCTGTCGCGTTTTTTCTACCCCAAAATGTCCCAAGGTAATTCCGTCGTGTGCCTCCTGCAGTAGCAGCTCCCTCAGTAGTGAGTACGCGGGTACCCAGATGCGGTTGGTGCCTGTTTTTACGTAATAAACTCCTTTAGCTTCTGCCTGTTGCTGTGAATTTCCGGTCGTGAAAAATGGGTCGGTGCGGTATCCGTGGGTGAATAGGCCTGTTAAAAGCGGGTTGGTTTGGGCGAGTAGGATGGCATGGAGTTGGGCGGTGGGGCGGGTGAGTGCGTCGGCGATGTTGGAGGCGCCTTTTTTGTACGTAACTGTGTAGTGGAAGTTGGACTCGAGGTAGTCCAACCAGCGAATCTGTCGTGGATTGAGATTTGGTTGGGCACGCAGGTACTGTAGTGATCGGTGGTCTGTCCGTACTGTCACGTCGGCGCCAGTCAGGTAACACCGCCAAACCTTGAACGCGTGCACGATCGCCAACATTTCGCGGTCGTGTATCGGGTAGTTGCGTTCGGGCGGGTGCAACTTGCGGGACTCGTACGCGATTGGCTGGAGGCCGTTCCCAAAATCCTGCAACAGTACCGCTCCCACAGCGATGTCACTTGCGTCGGTGAGGAGCTCGAACGGACGGTGCGGATCTGCGATGTGAAGCACGGGCGGTGAGCACAAAATGTTTTTGAGGGCCGAGAAGGCAGCTTGCTCTTTCTCCCCCCACGTGTACTCAACCCCCTTCCCCAGCAGGTCTGTCAGCGGGGCAGTCAGCTTCGCCATGTCGGGGACGAACCGGCGCATGTAGTTGACGAACCCCAAAAAACTCTGCAGCTCGGTCAAGTTGGTCGGCGCGTGCCAGGCTTGAATCGTTGCGATTTTTTTCGGGTCTATTTCCACTCCAGTCAGTCCTGTAAAAACTCACACTTAGACGCTTTGGTCAGTAGGCGGTTCTCACTCAGTATCCTAAAAACTGCTTCGATGTCCTGTCAGTGCTGTGCTCTGTCAGGGCTGTAAATCAGTATGTCGTCCAGGTATACTAAGAGCCGTCGTCCCACCCCACTCCACTCCCACCACTTCGCACTGGGCGTGGCGCACAGCAACGGGGGTTTCTTTCGTGCTGTTACGGGTGCAATGAATCGAAGTAGCGAGAATTGCACTAAGGTGTCAAAGGAGTACCAAGATGTGAGCGAAGGCATGAGCGAACATTTATACGTGAAACATGCAAACGGTAACGCGGTGCGTGCGAGCTAGCTAGTGCTATGCTGGCAGCGAGGCTTGGGCTAGTCCCGAAGCGTAGGCCGACACGGCCGGGCCAGCAGTGCGAAGTTTGGCAAAACAGTGCGCGAGGTTGACTGTGAGAGTACGACGGCTTATGCCAGCTATGCTTGCTTGCCTTTACTTTATTATGCTATTTCTAGCATAGGAAAATTATATGCATGCATGAATTGCTTGATTTCCTAGGCTAGGTGCTTTCCTATATTTTATTATAGTTATAGCACCGAGCTAGGTTGCATGCACCGAATTCTGGCTTTTCGGTTGCCACCGAATTGCCTTCTACCGAATTCGGGAAGGATCAGTTCGGGACGCTTCGCGACCCGCGGAACCTTCGCGTAACACCTGGTTACGGGGCCTTGTGTCGAGCCTATATATAGCTGTGAAGATACTAAGTACAGCTAGGCTTAGGAGCCATAGCTTTAGTGGCTTAGTAGTTGAAGTTTAGGGTCGAAGGGGAATGTCGAGAGAGTTGCAAGGAGAAAAGGATGGTTTCACTATAGGCTCAAGGGTACAAATATGAAAGAAGAGAAGAAAGGTGCACCACCTAACAAGAAAGATAACTACACTAAGTCTACATTGCAGGCAGTTATAAAGTGATGTATACAATTACATTCTGACAATAGCCTCGTGTTGTACCCAGGTGATCATTCAATTCACATTCTCTTTTCTGAGCTCGATCCTAGATCCTCACACTTGGTATCAGAGCCCGTTTACACGCGAAGTTCTTTCGACCGCTACAAACCAGTCTTAAAAAAAAACCGCGGGGGCGACGCAGTTAAACATCGATTTCGGGTACGTAAAACCGGTTCCGTGTTTTTCGCTCCCCCTCGATTCGGTTTTTCGGACGCGTTGATGTCAGGCATGGAAGGCCAAGGCGACAACTACGCGACCACGAGCGACATCGCGAGCCTCCGCATCGACATGGAGCAGACGCAGGCGACGCTTCGTCGACTCGAGGCTTTTCTGACAAGCCAACCAGGGTTCGCCACCGGGCAGCAGCGACCGCAGCGACTGCAGCACCGACAACTCCAGCAGCAGTGGCGACACCGACATTTCACGGACCGATGGCACCACTGTCGCCGAACCTCGAAGCAGCATGACCGAGGCTCCCTGAGGCGTTCGATCCAAGCGCGAAGGGATCCGACGTCCGGCGATTTGTGGCCACCCTCGAAATTTACTTCGAGGCCATTGGCTGTTCGACCCCGCAACACGACGCATCAAGGATTCGGCTCGCAGCGACACTGTTACGTGGACCGGCTCTCGAATGGATTTACTACACCGACGTAGCCCGCGGGGAGAAAACGTGGCAGCAGTTTCGGGCAGATTTAATCGAGCGTTTCGAACCAATTAATACGACCTACATGGCGCGGCAGCAGATACACCGACACAAGCAATACAGTAGTGTAGCACAGTACACGCAGCAGATGGAGTTACTGTTCAACCGCATCACCGACCTGACCGAAGGCGAAAAAATCCAGGCGTACACCGAAGGGTTAAAAATGGAGATTCGGCGGCAGGTGATTGCGGCGAATTACAACAGCTACAGGGACATCGTGCGTGCTGCCGAGCGATACGACGCGCTGACTCGAGGTCAACCCGAAACACGACGCTTCATGCCGAACCGTACATTCGGCACGGAGCGATCGGCACCCCCCACGTTCGCCGAACCGATGGATATCGACAAATACGACGCGAAGCAGCAACCGACAAAATGCGAATTTTGCGGCGCAGCAGGGCATTAGTTTTTGTCGTGCTACAAAATGAAGGAAGCACGTGCGGCACTCCGGGACGGAAACAGTGGAGCACCCCCGAAGTCAAAAATCGGGAATCGCCAGTAGCCGCGGATCGACCTGGCGATCGCGTAAAGATCCGAAAAGCAGGAAAAGGCGACGACGTGGCGACTTCGGAGCGGGCGAAAAAAGGAGAAAATGATGGCGCGAATCAAAAACGTCACGACCGGCCGGCATCAGGGGAAATCGCCGAGGCGAATGGAGGCTCCGCGAAAAAAGACTCTGCACCGACCGGGAAACTCCAGCCAAACACCCACGAAAGTAAGAATTCGTTAAAAGTATCCTATAAAGATACT